TATATTTTATACTTTATTAAAGAAATACTTCTATACTTTATACAATATTACAAATAATGTTATTTAAAATATTTAGATTTACGGACAAAATTATTTTTTTTATCATTTTATTATACTATTACGTATAAAATACTAATATATTTTTATTGGATGAGCACATTAACTATTTTCTCTTTTAACTTCTTTTATAAGTAATCATTATAATTATGTAAGTACTTATAAAGATTAATTCTTTATTGTTACCAAATATTATATTAAACAACTGTTTTAATACGAAATACAAATACAAAGCAAGCATACTCTATGTGAGCTAATATTAAATTATTGGAATTGATATAATTTATCGATATATATACACGCACGTGTGTTTTAATTTGCGGAAACAGAATTATTGTAATTTTGTCGGAAATTATATAAATTTTCGTTATAAAATTTTTACGATGTTGATGTGGCATATTACATCAATTTTAATTATGCCACGCGATTGGCCATCTGAAATTCGGTTGTTAAAAAACTATTAAAAAATAATAATAATAAGTTCGTTATGAAATTATTATTGAATATATTTTTTATAAAATAATAGAACTTTATATACATGACTAAAGTTAAAATTTATTTAGCACTCTATTTGATTTAAAATTAAAGTTCTGTTTACGCATGATAGTTTTAAAGGTCTTTGCACTATTCATCAATACTATATATTTTTTTCCAAAACATCAATTAAATATATATATATATTTAAAAAAAAAACTATATCATATTAAATATTAATCTATATTTTTAAAAAAATTAAATGCATAGATAAGCTAAAAATATTGTAATATTTCTAAATTTATAACTTACTATGTAATTATTTTTACATGGATGTCATAAATTTTCAATAAATAATATATATAAAGGAATATAATAATTTTATATAGATATGGGAATTCAATATTAGATAAGGAAAAAAATCATGGTGCTGACTAATGTAATTTAATGTAATAACTTTCTTATAGAGCTTTAGTTCAACAAAATTATTATAAAATTGTTTGTTTGAAGAATTTCCACTCATTTTCATTATTCACCATTTTTTAATATATATATATATATATTAAAACAAATACTTATTTTCTATTTTTTTTATATTATACTAAAAATTAATATTACATTTAAAATATAATAATATACAGTTATTCAAATTCAAATTTTTTATTATTGAAATCCCACCCTACAATCCAAACCACTAAACAAAAACACCCTTAAATAATGTGTTTGTAATACAAAATTTTTTCTCCAAAAATATTACATCAAATACTTATTTTATATTTTTTATATTATACTAAAATTAATTTTACATTCAAAACATCGCATCAATACTTAATTATATTATATTATACAACTATTTCGATTCAACTTTTTTACCATTTAAATTCCAATCCAAAATTCAAACATCCAAACAAACACATTATTTGCATTTTTCAAAAAACACAATAATATATTATACAAAATATTATAATAAGTTACAATAAAACTGATAATATTTTGATAATATAATATAGCAATATTATATATATACTGAATCACTATTGCGAACATATTCAATAATAATACTATAATATTTCTACAACATAACATAATATTCAATAACATCTTATATTAATATGTATTTTTTAATGCCTTTATTTTACTATTTTCAGACAAAAATAGTTGTTTAATTTGATATTTTGTATTAAAAACTAATTATGATATGACCAATACTATTGGGAAAAAATAAAAGATTGAATATGTAAAAATTAATATTTTTTCTGTCCCAAACAAAAGTATTATTTGGTTTAATAGCAGATTAAAAATAAACAATATTTCATTGATTAGTGAAAATATATAAAATGATTTTAACATTTTGTTCTTTATACTTTATGTAAATGTGTAATAATATATTATTAATTTATATTTTTGTATTAGTTTGATTGCTTTTATTATAATAATAAAAAAAAAAAAAAATTTGTGTGAATGGTCATACAAAAATAATACTCTCTCTGGTTGTCTCTAAGGTTACATTTAGTTTTTACATCATTATACTTATCATTGAAAATATTCTTACATTTGTATAATTATTTTGTACAAATATCATTATATTAGTATTATAAAACACTAATAAAAATAATTTTGTCATTTTTAATACGCAAAAAGTAAATATAATACTATTTTATTTGAAATTAAAGTTCTGTTTACGCTGATAAGTTTTTAAAAAATTGCACTATTCATCAATACTACAAATTTTTTCAAAACATCAATTAATTACATATACTTTTTCAAAAAACGATCACATTAAATATTAATCTATATTTTTTAAAAAATATTAAATGTGTATGTAAAAATAAGCTAAAAATATTGTAATAATTCTAAATTTATAACTTACTATGTAATTATTTTTACATGGAAGTCATAAATCTTCAATAAATAATATATATAAAGGAATATAATAATTTTATATAGATATGGGGATTCAATATTAGATAAGGAAAAAATCATGGTGCTGACTAATGTAATTTAATGTAATAACTTTCTTATTGAGCATTAGTTCTACAAATTTATTATAAAATTTATATCATCTAGGTGTTTGTTGGAAGGATTTTCACTAATTTTCATTATTCATCATTTAAATATATATATATAAAACAAATATTTATATTTTATTTTTTTATATTATATTAAAAATTAATTTTACATTTAAAATACAACTTCATACAATTATTTAAATTAAAAATTTTTTACTCACTCCACAATCCAAACCCCCTGAACAAACATATCCTTAACTAATGTGCTTGTTTCAAAAATTTTGAAGAATTTTTACTAATCATACAAAAATTTTCCTTCAAAAATATTAAATCAAACACTAATTTTATATTTTCTCCGTCCCACTTAATTTGTCTATTATTTCTATTTTTTTCTGTCTCATATAATTTGTCATTTCATTTTTGAAAATATAATTATACACTTTAATTATTTTTTAAAATTCATAATTTATAATTTTTTATTTTAAGTAAACTATTTAGTTATAGTAATTTTTATAACTAATTTTTTATGAAGTCATAATTATTTTTAATAATACACTTTTAATTACTTACTAATTATTCAATACCTAAAACTCCGTGTCTAATCAAAAGTGGACAATTTAAGTGGAACATAGGGGGTATTTTTTTTATATTATACTAAAAATTAACTTTACATTCAAAATATCAAATCAATACTTATTTATATCATATTATACAACTATTTCAATTCAAATTTTTTACTATTCAAATTCTAATCCAAAATTCAAATTTCCAAACAAACACATTATTTTTGCATTTTCATAAAACACAATAATATATTATACAAAATATTATAAAAATTACACTAAAACTGATGATATTTTGAGAATATAATATAGCATATTATATTGCGAACATATTTAAATAGAATATTATAATATTTCTACAACATAACATAATATTCAATAACATTTTATATTATATGTATTTTTTATGCTTCTATTTTACTCGTTCTAGATAAAAATAATTACTTAACTTGATATTTTGTATAAAAATTTAATTGTGATATGACCAAAAAAAAAAATTGAATATGTAAAAAATAATATTTTGTATCGTTCCAAACAAAAGTATATAGATGATTTGACAGTGAATTAAAAAATAATAATATTTTATTAATTAGTAAAAATATATAATACGATTTTGACAGTTTTATCTTTTGTATTTTATGTAAATGTGTAATAATTTATTTTAATTTATATTTTGTATTAGTTTAATTTCTTTAATTATAATAAAAATATAGATATTTTTGAGTAAGTGGTCATACAAAAATAATAAAAGGGTACTTTCATTTGGACGGTTGGGGTGTGTTTGTTTTTGAATTGAGATTTGAATAGTAAAAATTTCAATTAAAATAGTTGTATGACGTGATAGAAATAGATATTGATACGATGTTTTTAATATAAAATTGAATTTTAATATAATATAAAAAATAAAATTTAGATATTTGCTTTAATGTTTTTGAGGAAATTTTTTTTGATTAATAGTAAATTTTTGAAAAAAAAAAATTATAAAAGAACACACTTTAGTGTATGATTTTTCATAGATGAAGTTGTTCATTCAATAATTTTTTTTGTGAAATAATTTTTTGATAAATGTTACTAAAAAAGTATAAAATATATACATTCATACAATAATATATATTTTTTATTCACTTATAAAAATTAAAGATCAAACACAAAATGTTATTATCTCCATGTCACTTAAGTTTGTGCTTACATTTTTATTTTTTATTTTTTATCTATCTTCTAAAAATGTTATTTTTAATAATAAAATTATAATTTTTTTTATATACTTTTTACTATAAAAAAAAATAAAATTAACAAAAAATACACTCGTATTAATATTTGTACCCAAAAATTTTAACAAGCTATTAAGAGATTGATAAAATACTTTTTTTTTTTTTTTTTAATGTTACTCGCATATTTTCCTTTACTTAAGCATAAAAAATACTATTTTCGTCCGGTCCCAAGGGTCTCATTTACCTTTTACGCATTGATATTTTAATATTAATTATTATATCAAAATATAGTACAAATTAAGAAAAAAAATGCAAAAATTCTTCCATTAGTGTTTTATAATACTAATAGAAAAAAATTTGTACAAAAAATTATACAAATATAAGACTATTTTTAATATTAAGTAAAATAACGCAAAAAATAATGTGACTTTAGAGGCGGACGGATGAAGTAATAAGTACGCGTAAAAATCAATCTAAAGCTTTAAAAAAGTACATGTTAAAAAATATTTTTTAAAACACATCAAAATACAATCAAACAAAGCCAAGGAGCCCAGCAGTCGGACAAGGCCCACAGAGCCAAGAAAGCCCGGCCCGTCAAAATGCTTATCAGATCCATAGCTTAAGCTTGACCCAATATCCATGGAGCTTGGAATTGGAAGTCAAAAAATTTCATCTTTCCCGCTCAATCAATTGTTGCTGCTGCTGCTCCGTCGGATTATTGCAGATGCAGCCCCTCCTGAGCACTTCTTCTTCCACAATTTTCTTGTCTTCGTCTTCTCTCCATACCCTATCGAAGTATGACAGCTGCTGGGAATCTCCTCGATACTCCTCCAGCTCTGGCGTTACATCACCAGCTCACCTCTTGTTCAAACGTTAACCCTGATTCTTGCGACGAGCCGTCGAATCCGAATTTTAATCACGCTGAGTTGGATTCGAGGCCTCAACTAGGGTCCGGTGGGGATGAGAAGGGGATAGATTTTGAGATCGGGAAATCCAGCGAGCTGAAGTTTTGTTCGAATAAGGGTTTTGGCTCTCGATTGAGTAGGGGAAACGATGGAGATAGGGATGGAATCCATAGGGTTTTGAAGCGATGCAGAGTGAAGGCCTCCACGGCGGCGAAGCTTGTCGATGATTGGTCGGGGAGGAAAATTGAGCAGGGAGTTCCTGAATTCAAGTGTTCGTTGCCATTTCTTGTTGGAGCTCCGAAACAGGTAGATTTGTTGCCCTTCCAGATTCTCCTTGTTCTTGACAATAATACAATTCTTATATGTTGTGTGGAATAATATTTTATTGGATTCTATTGTTCCTTTGGTAGTTTAATGTTCTTTATTATTGCCTGGATTTGTTCTTGAATTTGGGGATGGCTGCAAGAATCCATTTCTGCTCTTTATGTTATTATCAATTTTGCAAAGATGATATCACTGTAAAGCACTGAAGCATTTGATATTTGTAAAGCATCGAAGCATTTGATATCAGTTGGGGTTCGATATTCAGAACTGTTGTTTTAATTGATTTTTTACGTGATCTGAACATTTGGAATGGATTTTCTATGTAACTATGTTAAAGATCACCCCTACAATGAACTGAGAGCTTTTAAAGACTAGTGTTGCAACTGGAATCGAAAAAAAACTCCGAACAAGAAAATTGGGAAAAGAAAACCTTAAACACAAATTTATCTTTTTAAGCATTTCTACCATTGTTGCGGTGTCATTCGATTGTTTTGATCTTCTCAGGTCCACTGTGGTGTTTGTCAGAAAGCTGTATTCGATGAGGAGAAGATATTGTGCACTGTTAATGGTTGTCATAGTGTTTTTCACCTAACATGTGTGAAGGAAAGCATGGGTTTCTCATCTTCGAAGAACTTTAAGTGCCCACAGCATGTAAGTATTAATGGAATTCTGTATTGAATTTAACAGGATTACTGGAATCATGCATTGATGTCTCGGTTGGATTCGCATGCAAATTGAAAGTTTCCATATCTGAAGTAGAGCCATGAACTTGTTTTAAATAAGGAAGTACGAATATCATTTATTCAGAATACGACAAACCTTTATTGGCTTAGTAACTATAGGTTTGTCGATATGATATCATTTATTGAGAATACGACAAACCTTTATTGGCTTAGTAACTATAGATTTGTTGATATATGATCTAATTTCCTTTCTCGGGGATATCTGAAGTAGAGTCCCTAGAGTTGTATTAAATAGTTAAGTGCCGATATCATTTATTCAGAATACGACGTGAATTTATTGGTTTAGGAGCTATATTTTGTCGATATGATATCATTTGTTGTTTGGTCTTTTTGGATAATATGCTATTTTTTATACATTGGTAATTAATTTTTCTTATGAAGTTGCTTTTAGATGTATTTCTGATGTGTGTTTATTTCTCTGTTAGCTTTTCCTCGATGAAACGAAAACATGTTTCTTTACGTTGGAAGGGAGAGGATTGTATATTTTGACTTATTCTTGTGGACAGGTCTGTTTCTTGTGCAAGCAAAAGAACCGTTTATGGAGGTGCATTCGATGTCCAATAGCATGGCATGATAAATGTGCTCCATTTCCGGAATACGTGATTAATCTTCCTGATCGACCCCGAGAAGCCATTTGTTGGAAGCATCCTACAGATTGGCATTTGGATAAGGTTGATTTCTTCTTCGATATCTTCAGCTTTTATTTCTTTTCATTTTTACCTTTTACCTTTTACCTTATAAGATAACAGCAGAAATTTTTCCACAATCTTTCTAACAATCAACTTAGTAACTATTTTCACATCGCCTACTTTTCGAAATTAAAACAAATATAAACTCTTGAGGTTTGATACATGTCCATATCTTAGTATGACTGAATTGTTAGAGACTTGGATTTAGACATTTCGCTTGAGTTATTATGTCAAATATTGACACCTTAACATGGTAAGCTACTCATTTTGTAATTGTAAAGTGGAAAAATAGATTGTGATCGACAGAAACAGACGTGATCTATTATCCATGGTTCCTAGATAGCGCGCACATATTATTTCATAATAGGGGAGATTGGGATACCGTTTCTTAGCTCAAATGCACTTCCAATTTTAAAAACATCGCATTTAGTTCAACATGGAAGTAATATAGAAATTTGGTCAAGACTCGCATTTATACTTTCTTGAAATGACAAAGATTGAAGAGGCTAAACGAAGAACTAAGTTGATGTTTCAGCTATTCGACAAACATAGAAGAATAAATGCCAAATATCTATAGGTTGATGTTGGGAAGTGAAGAGTTTTAAAGGGTTCTTTTGTCCCAGTAGTTTGTCCGATGAAAATGGTAAAGAAACTGTTATGTAAATAGTTTGTCGATATTCTTGCCATGTGGTGTCTCATTATTCACATGATTGGTAATTTAAATGCAAACCTTCCTTCGAATAGTTTGGTAATTTCTGTAAAATCCAGGACAGAAAAAACATAAGCCTCGTTCGTATAGGCTTGGTGGCTTTGCATTTGTAATTTTAATTATGACTTCAACAAATGCGAAGCATTCGAAACAATGCATGCGATATGCCAAGAAATAAGTGACCGTTGGATTTAGGAAATTGAGATTACCATCATCTTGTCTTTGTTTCCTCTCGGAACTGAACTAGACGTATAAATTTCCGCTTTCCTTTTCTTTTCTATCGATCTTTTCGTTCATACTTACGTTATGCCATTGTCTTCTTGTTATATGCTTCTATGAAATCACGACCTGATTTTCTTCATTTATCATTCAGCAAGAAGTTCCAGCAAAAAGCATTGAGGTTAGCTCTTGAACCGTTACGATTTTTGTTAGCTCATTTGAATCATAAAGCGCAGAATGTGAAATGGTTTTTATTCTTTTCTCGATTTCTATTTGTTCTTGGACAAATGATAATCGTATGCACTCCAATTTCACTTTTCAGGACGTGTTTTCCCTCTTACCTCTTCCATACAACAAGGAGGAATTCGACATCGACATAAACTGGAAGACCACAAACAAAGCTAAGCTGGTCCCGCAATCCTATGTGCATATCAAACGAAGTATCCTACATTTCTCCGTTTTCTACCAAATCGTGTTTGAGATCATCTATCGTATGCTTTTTTAGAATTTTCTTAACTAAGTCAGATGTGTATCTCATAAAAAAAAAGCGTAGTAATAACGTCGAAGCTGATGTCGGATGCACGAGCTGCAGCTCTACTCAATGCTCGGAGGGTTGCGTCTGCAGGTACTGTTCTTCAATCTTCGACAAAACATTTATTGCTTGGCAGAGAAAATCTAATCTTTTCACTTTTTCTAACAGAATGCAGTGCGTAAGCTGTTCGAAAGCTTGTCGTTGCTCCAAAGACTGCAAAAATCGACCCTTCCAGAAAGTGAAAAAGATCCAAATTGTCAAGGTACATTCCCTCAGACTTTTTTATCGACTAATTCCTAAATGTTCGATAGGTTTTCGAATTTAAATCCATAACACAGCGTGCGATGCTTACCAGACCGAACACTGCGGTTGGGGTGTAGTGGCTGCCGAACCAATCTGCAAAGGCGAATTCATCGTGGAATACGTTGGAGAAGGTAACTAATTTTCGTGGATAAGGCATGCAGAAGATGAAATTATTAACGCGTATCGATTCGTTTACGTATGTCAGTAATCGACGACGCCTTGTGCGAAAGAAGGCTGTGGGACATGAAAGACGAAGACGCGAAGAACTTCTACATGTGCGAAATCAACAAGGACTTTGTAATCGACGCAACGTTCAAGGGAAATGCGTCGCGCTTCTTAAACCACAGCTGCGCGCCAAATTGCAAGCTCGAAAAATGGTAAGCGTTCGTCGATTTTCTTGACGTGGTAATAAATCTGTCGTGTCGAATTACCTGATCGATCAATTTGCAGGCAAGTCGAAGGGGAGACTCGTGTCGGCATCTTTGCGTCCAGAGCGATTGAGATCGGAGAACCGTTAACTTACGACTACCGGTGAGCCATTATCAAAATCGAAGTTTTTTTCGAATACATTTTTGCGCGACTTGTTCGTTTTTTTATTTTTATTTTTATTTTATCGACACGATTGCAGGTTCGTACAGTTTGGGCCGGAGGTCGAGTGCCATTGCGGCGCTGAAAAATGCAGCGGATATTTGGGAACGAAAAGGAGGATCGTTTTTTGTAGTCCGAATACGAACACGGACACGAACACGAACACGGGATTGGAGATTTCGTGGGGACCGAAACGACAGCGGACGTCGAAGAAATTTGTGGGATTGAGTATAGAATGAATGTGAAGGAACATTTTTGTTGTTGTTAGAACTTATGTTCATCAATTTGTCTTGTGGAAGACACAGATATGAGTTTGTTGTGTGTATTTTTGTTGGTCTTTTTAATTTTTTTGTTTCATGTTTTTAGTTATAAGGCACAATTGAGCCTTTTGTTTCTCCAAAGTTTGTATTGTGAACGAGTAAATGTTTTTTTTTTTTTTTTAATTTATGAATGCAAAAAAAAAAAAAAAAAAAAAAAAAAAACTCCCTTTGTTTACTGTGACTGTGCATGTATTCATTTAAATTTTATGTATTTTAAATGAAAATTATATATATATTTTTTAATTCTGATTGAACTTTATCTAATTAAGCATGTATATTGGGACAAATGGACATTCGTGATGTAATAAACAAATCATGCATATTTTGTTAGTCTAATATTTTTAGGCGAGACGATATAAAATATTTGTTTTTAATGTGATATATATAATATATTTATATTAAAATATAAATGTTTTAAATATTATATTATATTTTTAGTGAAATTTTTTTTTTTTAAATTATGATTTAACTTTATCTAAGCATATATACTATGACAAATGGACTTTCATAGTGGGCAAATAAAAAAGATAAATATATCTTTACGAGATTAATCGTTTAGTCGAGACAATTATTTAATATGATATTAGAGTCAAGATGTTCAGGTTCTCGAATCCCATTACTATCCGAGAAAGATGTTTTTATAAGAGTTTGAAAATTTTCAAATTCTAGTAAAAGTTAAGTATAGTCTCCGTTCCGTAAGAAGGTTGTCATTTGATTTTTGCATCATTATAATATTTCATATTAAAAATGTCTTTATATTTGAATGATTTATTCGACAAATATCATTGTATTTGTAATATAAGAGACTAATAAACGTATTTTTTGTCTTTTACTCTTAATTTGTAATATAATAATTAATATTGAAATATATGGAGGGACTATTTAATTAATGTGTTATTTAGTTAAATAAAATAAAAATTTAATGTAATATTTTTTTATAAAAATCAAGTTGTGTCTATTTTGATTTTTTACAATTTTCAATAACCATTTTCTCAAATACATTATATTACAAAATATCAATTCAAATTATTATTATTACAAGCGCGTGGATCACATGTTGGGGTGCATTTTTAATTCAGTTCGTACGTACTTAATTTTAACTATTAATTAATAAAAGATATTTAAGTCAATTTAAATATTATTCTTGAATTAATACTCCCTCCATTGTCAAAATCTGTGCTTTTGTATTTTATAAAGAAATTGAATACAGATTTTGATGACAAAGATAGTGTGTATATATATATATAAATAGAACCTGTATTTCATTATCCATTTTCATTTTACAGGTAAAAGTAAATATACATTTAAAAGACCCTAAATTTTTTATTTTGTCCCGACCTACCGAAAGTCAAGAATATCACATTCGATCACCATATGTGAATCATGTCCCTTTTAAGAAAACCTTTGCAGATTCTTTGCCAAGATTCTGTGTCGGGTTCTGCCTCCATTAATTGTAATTTAGCATTTTCGACAAAAACTATCTGCAATGAATACACATATTCATCGAACTATGTTAAATATAGTTAGAGGATAAAGCCCAACGAAAGTATTTGTGTTGCGAATATATATATGTGTGTACGATGGTGGATTACGCACGTCGATGGAGTTGTTGGAGTGAAGGCGATCGATAAGGTTATTGAGGATGTCTTTATTGTATTCGGGATGTCCTTGAATCCCTAGAATATTTTCTCCAAATGTAAACATCTCCACTCCCGTTTTCTCAGAATGTGCAAGAACTCGGGCTCCCGATGGCACTTCCCACACCTAAACCAAATATTTTTTGTTATGACAACAAAATTCGAGATTTTGACACAAATATAGGATGTTAGCAAGATTCGGACATGAACATAGGATGTTAACGAAAATCATATTTTGTAAGAAAGAGGATTAATGAGTATAATTCAATTTGTTTGTATATGCACTTATATACCTCGTCTTGGTGGCACTCGATGATAGAGAGGGTTGGAGGGATAATTCTTTGATCGTAATCCGTTGATAAGAAGATTGAGAAATGGAAATCTTCGATGAACTTCACTCTTCGAACTCCAATGTCCCAACCACTACACGATCTAGCAACTTTGCCTCCCAATGCTCGACACAAAATCTACATTTAAAACGATTTATATTTTTAAATAAAGATCAAAACGAACTTACAAATGTATCAACAATCAAGCATATGATGATCGCATCGTGCATACACTCATATATTTAGATATTTAGATATTTAGACAACATAGTTTTTAATAAAAATATATTATTTTTCTCATAAAAATATCACATTAAAATATTATTTAAAATAAAATTCAGATCAACAAACCTTTATAACATCTAGAAAAATTTACCTGGTGACCGAAACAGATGCCAAGAACCTTCTTCTGCATATCGAACAAAGTTTGTAAGAGAATGCAAAGTTCAAGAACCCAATCCTCATGCCCATGGGCATCATGGGGACTCCCACTTATTACAAAGCCATCGTATTTTTCAAGATCATCCATGCTCGGGAAATCCCCTTCAACTACACGAAACGTATCCCATTTATCGCCTTCATCCCCTAATGTCTCCACGAATACGTTGTAATATCCACCGTATACTTTCTTCACATAATCCGAGTCTTGTGCCGCCAATAGAAGTGCAAATCTTTTTCTTCCTTGAATCACCATTTTTTTTTCTTTTTTTTTTTTTTTTTCGAAGAAGATTTTGAGAGTGAAGTGAATATTTACTTTCTATCGTGTTTGTGTTTATCACAAAGTCTAAGGGTATTGAATACTTTATATAGGTTGAAAAAAATAGAAATATTTTTGTGTACGATAGATTGAGGATGAAGCTTCATGTTTGATAAATATTCTTGATAATCGTTTTGCTAACATAGGATTTATTCATTTGTGTGTATATATATTATTTTACCATTTTTTACATTAATTTAATTATGCAATATGATTCTTTATATTTAAATATTAGATGTAAAATTTCACGTAAAAAATGATAATTAAAAATATGAGGCTCAATTTTTTTTGAATTTTTCTTTTTTAAAATTTTTTATTATATGCAACCTCATATTTTTCTATAAAATATATTTTTTTATTTTTTTGCATATAAATCCAATCATTTTTTTTTTTTATTGCAATCTCCCAATTTCATTTAAAAAGGATTATATATATCCAATATTTTATTTTTCATAGAAACAATTACATCCGACAATAATTTCAGTTTATAATAATAATAATAGAATACTGAAAAAACACACCCCAAAATAATTACTCATATAGCTAAAAATATTCCCAATTTCGATTCGATTCTTGATTCCGGATAGCTCAGCAATCCAAAATACTTCCATATTTGATGGATTCATACTAATATTTCTTTTATTTATTTATACGATTTAATATAGTCAATTTATTATTATTCTAAGTGTCGTAAACTAATGACCGTCTCACCTAAAAGCTCGAACTTGTTAAGGAAACCTAAGCCATTAGATACATGCAAGTGGGTCTGCGAAACTTGCACATGCATATGCCACAAATAGGGACGGGCGGGACTCGAACTCGAGACCTAACCTAGGCTCTGATACCATGTCGGAAGCTAATGACCGTCTCACCTAAAAGCTCGAACTTTTTAAGGAAACTAGGCCACTAGTTACAGATCCCGCAAACGGGAGTCCCCAACACTAAGAATGTTAATATGCATATGTATTAAGCAATATATTAATATATTTGTTTTTATAAAATTCTATTATATCGTCTCATTATTAAGTATTTTTATTATTTTTTTGCATTTTGAGTGAACAGTAATTCAATATAATATTTTGTATAAATAATAAAATATTTGTATAAAAAACGCGATGCCTATATACTAAAAAAAAAAAAAGAATTAAAAAAAACAAAAAATACATTCCAAAATTTTATTTTAATTTATTCATCGTTACAAATAATTTAACAAAATTAAAATATTACTTTAAATTATTATATAATTCAAGTTTATTTATTTATATCAAGTTTCAATTCCAAATCATCAAACTAACCATATCCCCCTCCCCCCAAAAAAAAAAGAAAGTAGAATTTAACATTACATTCATTAGGTATAATATTATTCGAACATATAGGCCGACTAATATGCTTATATAAGACGTCATAGAAATAATAATAATAATAATAATAATGGTTGGAATTAAAGTAATAATATTATTTATCTACTAAAATTAGGGTTACATCGTCATACATATACATATACATATTGATATATTACCATAAATATAGATATATATATATATATTTCAATATATATCTAACATACCCCCAAACTCAATGTGGGAGTATGAAAACCAGCTTGAGTGATCAAGAATGACTGAAAGCGGCCGGATAAATAAAGCTTGGTGAAGCTATCAACAATTTGATCGGCAGAAGAAATGGAGGACAAGGAGACGTTGCCGTTAGCAACGTGATGACAGACAAGGTAACAAACGATCTCAATGTGTTTCGTACACTCGTGAAAAATATCATTCGTCGAAATTTTCATGGCACTTTGACTATCACAATGAATAATGGTAGCAAAGGGTTGAGACACACTGAGATCAGCCAGTAGCCATCGAAGTCATAGAAGCTCGGCAGTGGTATCGGCAAAAGCTCGATACTCGGACTCCGCATTGGACTGGGAGACGACCGTCTGTTTCTTGCTGCACCAAGAAATAAGCGAATCACCAAGAAATAAACAAAAGCCAGTAGTCAAGCAACGATCGGTGGGATCTCCCGCCAAATCAGCATCAAAGTACCCAGTTAAAACCAAGGACGAGTTAGCTGAATAATGGAGACCATGGAGGAGAGTGTCTTTGACATACCGAAGAATCCGCAGAGCAGCAGAGTAATTAGTCGTTCGAGGAGCGGACATGAACTGACTGACGATATGAACAACATAGGCAATGTCAGGTTGAGTAACAGTCAGATATATCAGGCTTTCCACCAGCTGACGATATAAGGTAGGATCGTCAAGAGGGGCACCATCCATTGGAGTAAGGCAATAGTTAGACTCAAGAGGTGTAGGCGCGGTTTTAGAATAAGTGAGACCGGCTCTAGACAGAAGGTCAAAGGCATACTTAGCTTGAGAAAGATAGTACCCGTCAGAGGTGTCGGAGATCTCAAGACCGAGAAAGTACCGAAGAGGCCCCAAGCTCTTCATTTCAAAGTGGTTGTGAAGATGATCATGTAGTTCAGAGATGTCGGACTGATCATCTCTTGTGATGATCATGTCATCCACATAAAGTAACAGAATAGTAACACCAGCGGACCCGGGTCGAGTGAATAAAGCAGAGTCATGATAGCTGGAAGTAAATCTAAGTTGGAGCAGAGCAGAGCTAAATTTTGAAAACTAAGCTCGGGATGCCTGCTTCAAACCGTATAGAGCACGACGAAGTTTACATACCTTGGAGGACGTGGGAAAACCAGAAGGAGGAGGCATGCAGATTTCATCGGATAGATCACCATACATGAATGCATTCTTGACATTGAGCTGATGTAAAGGCCACTAACGAGTAGCAGCGATAGCTATAAGATAACGGACGGAGGTGAGACGAGCAACGGGGGCAAAGGTCTCCTCATAGTCGATATCGTACTCCTGAGTGTAGCCTTTAGCTACCAAACGAGCCTTGTAGCGCTCTATGGATCCATCAGAGTGTGTTTTGATCCGGAATACCCACTTACAGCCGATAAGTTTCTTGCCTTGAAGAAGATCAACCATATCCTACGTGTGGGTTTTCTCCAAAGCCTGTAACTCCTCAGACATAGCTTGCCGCCACAACGGGTCCGTATACGCCTCACGGAAGGACTTGTGCTCATGGTGGGACAAGGTGGCAGACAAGCAGTGATAATCGAGTAAGTGAGTATGGAGATGACTAACCCGAGTGGAACGGCGAGGGCCAGGATCAAGGTCCGAAGTCAAAGTAGTGTCAGGATCTGGCGGTGATGACGGATCAGAGTCGGGAGTAGTGGTGGGCTCGGGGATCGGCGTCGGCTCAAGAGGCGCAACCGGGACAGCGTCAGGAGCGGAGGACAGAGCCGCATCGTTGGAAGGAAATAGAGGTGGAGAGGACAAGGTAAAGAGCGGATACGAACGATCAAAGGGAACTCGAAAGTGGGACAAGGTAGAGAACTTGATATTCTCCCAAAATGTGACATGACGAGAAATACGTAACATATTGGAAATAGGATCCCAACAATGATAACCCTTATGCTCTACCCCGTATCCCAGGAAGCAACAAAAATGCGCACGAGGTTCTAACTTTGCGCGCTCATGAGGAGGGAGGAGGACGAAGCTGACAAAACCAAAGGGGCGGAGAAGACTATAATCAGGGGTTCGATTATATAGTATTTCAAATGGACTAACATTACTCATGAAAGAGGAAGGGAAACGATTTATACTATAGACAGCAGTAAGTGCGGCTTTCCCCCAAAAAGATCCGGACAAGAGGCAGATAAGAGAAGGGTGCGGACTGTATCAAGGATATGGCGGTATTTACATTCGGTGCGACCATTTTGTGGAAAGGTGTACAGGCAAGAGCGCCGGACAGCAGTACTCTGATCAGATAGAAAACGAATGAATGAAGAATTTGTATACTCAAGAGCATTATCTATGCGGAAAGTTTTAATAGTGGAGGAAAATTGGGTATGTATCATTTTAGCAAAGTCCATATAAATAGAAGAGAGTTCAGAATGATGTCGCATGAAGTAAATCAACGTAAAACGAGAGTAGTCATCGATAAAAAATACGAAATAACGTGAATCATTCATAGAGACAGCGAGTGAAGATCCCCAAATATCATAGTGAACTAATGAAAACGGAGTATCCACAACAAAATACATGAGGGAATGATAAAGCAGGTTGTTTCCCCAATGAACAATCCACACAATTAAAAGACTAAAAACCGACAAAACCCAAAAGACCCTGAATAATCAAAGACCTAAGTTTATTTGAGGACGCATGACTGAGATGATGGTGCCACTGAAGGTAGGATGGTGTGAAGGTGGTGGCAGCAAAAATAGAAGGACGAGAGAGCTGAAGTGACTCAAGCTCAAATAAGCTGCCCGTCTTCCGGCCCTTCCCGAGCGTCCTCACGGTTTGCGTATCCTGAACCTGCACACCAGAAGAAAAGAAAATCACTGTGAGACCTTGATCAACTAATTGACCAACTGAGATCGGATTCAAGGTTAATTGGGGAATACAATAGGCGTCAGAGAGGGATAAAGATGAGGTGGATGTGTGTCCAGTATGAGTGATGCGCATATGGGTACCATTTACGGTAGGATAGGGGGTAGAGATGATGCGGTGGATGTAGAGGTCATAAGACGTATATCAGAGGTCATATGACTACTACAGGCAGAATCAAAATACCAAGGAGGGGTACCTGATATGGTAAACATGGCAGTATTGGAATATAGAATCTGTTTAAGGGGAGCCTCCAAGTCCTGAATCGTACAAGGCGCAAGCACAGGCGTGGCAGAGGCTGTGACAAAGAAGGTACTAAAATGAGGAGGTCCACAAACATGCCGAGGCTTGAAGTTACTGCTGTCAGAGCGAGACGGCCTAGTAGGACAATATTATATAGTATGGTCTAAAACGTGACAGTAATGGCATTCCACTTTGGGGCAGTGACCGAAGTCGTGATCAAAAGACTGACATCTTTCAAAACGGAGTTGACGACTCTGAGTAGGTGATCGGGAGGTGACCGCAAGAGC